GGGCTGCACGAGGCTTAACTCCCCCCACGTCCACCACAGTGTGGCCAGCAGCCAATTTATCACCATGTCCCAGCTTTTCCCAAGAAACCCTCTCTCTTCCTCTATCCCACGAGCATGGCTGAGTCACAAAAGGACGGTTGGCCTCCCCCTCTTCCTGTTCACTATTCTTCTCTTCCCTCCTTCCGGGTGCTCCTCAGGGACAGGGGCTGCTCGCCGCCACAGGGGTGGCCAGGCCTGACTGAATGCTGCCTTAGTTCTCCTATCCTGCCAGCTCCCTGGTCTCTTTTGTTAGTCGTGTCAAGTGGGCGCTGTCCCCAGAGGCCAGGGTCTCACAAATGTTATTCCAGGGAGGTCTGGTTCCAGCACAGCTGTTGAGCAGTGTGTGACTTTGGTGAGTTCCTGAACTTCTCTGAACTCTGATGTTCTCCCTGGGAGAGGGCCACCCCCTCGTCGGAGGCAAGGACTCATGAGGCCATGTTCATTCAGGGCCTGGAAGACAGTAGATGCTTCATCCTGGAGGCTGCCAGCCTCATGGAGAACTAGGAAGGCGGCTCTGGAGGCCTTCCCTGGAATTTGTGGTCTTGAAGGTCTCTGTCCTCTGGGCTGCTGCATATGTGCTGTCACACGGGGTTTCCGGATCATGGTGCCAGGACTGGCTGAGTTCCCAGGGCACACCTTGGGGTGCTCAGGAGGCCAGGAGAGGATGGACAAGAACGGTGGATGCTCTCTTCCTCGGCTCTCATGTGATCCTGGGGATTCTGTGGGCCAGAGGCCCTGGGAGGCTTCCTGGAGGAGGTGGTAATGGGCTAGGTGTTCACATGTGGTTTGAATAGGTAAAGTGAAGCAGGTGGGAGAAAAGCCGCAAGCAGCAAGTGTCCAGGAGGTGGACCAGAGTCAAGAGGTGGTGAGGACAGGCAGGGTCACCACAGCAAGGCTGGTTGGGGCACCTCCGTGCCAAGGACATAGCTGTCACCCCGAGTCCCTGCCTCAAAGGGCATGCCTGCCAACAGGGAGCCAGACCAGCTGCTTGACAAGCTGTGGAGTTGGAGTTGGATAGCCAGCTGGGCTGATCACCATGAGCCATTTTGTCCTGGATGCTGGGTCCTAAGGAGGTGAGAAATGTGTCCTGGGCTTCTCACCCTATGGACCAGTATCATTTATTCATTTATTTACTCAACAGTGATCTGTTAAGCACTTGTATGTACCAGACATCCTTGTTCAGGACTAAGGATATCATAGCAAACAAAACAGACCCTGTCTTTATACAGTAGAGAAAAACACAGTGCATTGGGGGAAAGTAGGGGTTGTAATCTTAGAAGGGCATATTTGAGCTGATACTTGGAGGAGATGAACAACAATCTTGGGTTATTTAAGGGAAAAGCATTCCAGGTAGAGGAAGAGCATGTGCAAAGGTCCTGAGGCTGGAGGATGCTTAGTATGAGTCACGAGTTGCTGAAGGCCAGTGTGGCTGGAGTAGAGTGGGTCAGGGTGGGCTGCAGTGGTAGAGGGAAGGGAAGAGAGCTGAGGACGTTGCAGACCATCACACTGACTTTGGTGGGAGCCTTTAAGGATCTTATATTTTATATAAATTTAAAAAGATTGAGGTTTGATTTACATACCATAAAATTCACCCATATATTATGTGTATAGTTTGACTTTTAAGAATAAGCATACAGTTGTGTGACCATCACCACAGTCCAGTTTTAGAATATTTCTACCACCCAGAAAATTCTCTGTGCCTGTTTATAGTCAGTTTCTGTTCTCAAGCCCAGGTAACTACTGATCTGCCCTGTGTCTGTAGCTTTGAGATTCTATACTAGTGGAATCGTACAATGTGTATGTAGTCTTTTGTGTCTGTTTTCTTCCCCTTAGCATATGTTTTAAGGTTCATCCACATTTGCCACATGTATCAATAGTTCCTTATTACGGCCGAGTGCTATTCTGTTATTAGGTAGATATACTTCTTTTGTTTTCACATTCGCCAGTTGATGGGCCCTCTACTTCGAAGCTGTTACGAATAAAGGTACTGTGAACATTGTTCATAAAACTTTGTGTAGATGCATATTTTTATGCCTCTTGGGTAGTTGGGTCAACTAGTGTATATATATTTAACTTTTAAGAAACTGCCCAGCTGTTTTCCAGAGTAGTGGTACCATTTTTCATTTCCACCAACACCGAGTATTCCAGCTTTGTATCCTCACCAGCGCTAGGTATTGTCCGTTTGTGAAATTTCTAGCCATTCTGGTGGTGTGAAGTGGTGTGTCCTGAGGTTTTTTGATCTGCACCACCATGGTGACTAATGACATTAGTCATTTTTTCTTGTGCTTACTGACTGTGTATCTTCTTTGGCGACATGTGTATTCAGATATTTGCTCATTTTTTCATTGGGTTGTCTTATTGGTGATTTGTAAGGTTTACTGTATATCCTAAAGATAAGTTCTTTATTAGATATATGATGTGTAGCTGTTTTCTCTGTGGGAAGGTGTTGGGCAGGAATGAGGCCCCGGGGGTGGTGGTGGTAGTGGTAGGAATTGAAGGGGAAGGAGTTCCTGCGCCTCACCTCAATCCCTGGGATGCACCCTCCTCTGCTTCACCTGCCCGGGCTCTGCGTCAGGACTTCCTAGGTCAGCGGGTCCCCTGGCTGAGCCACTGGAGCAGGAGACTCATTTGGTCCACCCAAAGAGTGGGACAGTCGCTGTTACAACAGATCACTGCCACTTGCCCTGGCTGACTCAGGACTGCTAACCCAGCCTAATCAGGCTCACAGAGGGCACATGGGAAGCCTGTAGTCCAGCTTCTTAGTGACGCCAAGTTCTGGGGAGCAAGGGAGCCAACTTCATGCCCTGTACTTATTAAGTGACTCCTGATCCCCAGAATACTTTGGGGACCAGGGCATGGAGTGTTGGATTTGGCAGGTGCGGGGGGCTGGGCCAGGGCTGGCAGGCATGCCTGTGCTACCCTCCAGCTCACCTGGGCATGTAGGCACCGCTACAGTGTGCCTTGGGGAGCTCATTTTTCTCTGCTCTGGTAGCTGACAGCCCGCAGGAGGAGTCGATCCTTCACATCGCTGACTCATCTTGCCGGCCTGAGAACACTTTGCACATTCCTGCTACGGGCATTATGGGTTGGCTTCTATATTAGTCAGAACTTTTTTGTGCCCATGATAGTGTTATTCGCACAGAATTAGGCAATCAAAAGAGAATACTGTGGGGATTTGTTGGCTGATGTAAGTAAAGAGCTCAAGTTCCAGCTTCAGGCTCAGCAGGATCCAGGTCTCCAGATGCAGAGACTCTTCATTGGCACTGTTCCTTGGCAGGCTCTACCGTGCGGTAACCAGGATGGCCCTGCAGCTTCCGGCTTCTACTCAGGCAACCCCAGAGCAAGGAGGACAGCTCTTCCTAAAAGTTCCAGTCACAGTGCAGGCCTGGTGCTCCTTGGGTCATGTGATCTTTCCCCAGCCAACCATAGAGACTCCAAATGGCCTGGCCAGGCCTGGATCTTGATCCTGTGTCCCCTCTAGGAGTAGGTAGGTTCAGCCCACAGAAGTCCTGTGGGTTGAGAATGGAGAAAAGGATCTTCTAAAAGGGAGTAAAGGCAGTGCTCAGTGGGTAGGGCGCTGGCCACATACACCAAGGCTGGCGGGTTCAAGCCCGGCCTGGATGTGCTAAACAATGATGACAACTGCAACCAAAAACACCCAGCAGGGCAGTAACTGTAGTTCCAGTTACTTGGGAGGCTCAGATAAGAGAATCACTTAAGCCTGAGAGTTTGAGGTTGCTGTGAGCTGTGATGCCACAGCACTCTACCCAGGGGATATAGTGAGATTCTGTCTCAAAAATAAATAAATAGATAGATAGGAGTACAATTCTGTGACCAAGGATATGGCTGCATAGGTAAGGTGTGTGGCATCCTCCACTGCCTCAGAACTGAGTGCCCAGAGGCTACTGATTTCCTGCATTCCCAAGGGCCTGAGGCTCAGGGATGCTTTTGCCTAGATCCCTCTATCCAACCATGGTGCTCTGTCTCCCCCCAGACACTGTGTTCCCAGAGCAGAGGCTGAGTCCTGCCTATCAGTCTGGGGAGGGATGGAGCCTTGTCCATGGTGAGTCCTCTGTAAATATTTGGTGCAGGAGAGGGTTGTGAGCATAGCCAGTGGGAGAAGAGGCCAGGGTAAGTGGGCTTGTCAACCCCTTTGAGCCCCCTGCAGCCTGTCTCATATTGCTGCCATCTGACCCCCAGCCTAAACCAGTCACCTTGGAGCCTGGAGGCTGTGTCCCGCTTTAGGGATCCCCTTTATAGGGCATTAGTGCCTCTGTGAGCTGTGTGCGCCTCCTCTGCTTTAAGGTGGAAAGGCAGGCAGAGGTCATGGCTAGAATGCTTTGATAGGGGCTTGAGGCAGGTGGCCCACAAGGGCAAGGGAGGGGAATGAGGTTAAGCTGTTTGGTGTATTTGTCCCCATGCCTGGGATAGAGTAGGCAGGTGCTGGGATGGTGAGCTGAGAGCTGGCACGTGGCCACTGAGAAGGGTTTGGCTTTCTATCCTACATTGAGATGGATGTGTATTGCTGGCTGGTCCTTGGGAGCCATTGGAAAGTGACCCACAGGGTTGCTTGTGTGTGTCAGAACATGCAGCAATCTGTTGGTGGTGTGCTGACTTGCATGTGGGGGGCTCCTGGGGTTAATTCAGCCCTTGCTTCAGACTTCCAGGCCTGTTGGTTGCTCCAGAGAGAGCACGCCCAATCTCGCAGTCCAGCAGAGTAGGATATGTGTCTTGGGATACCCATTGCCATGTTCTGCGACCTGGGCCCATGCTTGATGTTGCTCTGTGCCTCAGTTTCCCTATCTAGAAAATAAGGGTGATGATGGTTTCTGCTTTACAGGATAGGGGGTGCTAGAATCCTATGAAGGCCCCCCGTCAGTGTCAGAGTGTGCCAGGGGGCCAACCAGTACTCCAGCATCTGGTGACGTTATGACATCATCTCTCTTGTCCTCTACTTGCAGGCGAGTGAAGATGACAGAAAGGATGTGACCTCCACTTACCTTCATCCATCTGCCAAGTGGCGCCACCATGCAGAAGCCCAGCGGCCTGAAACCCCCCGGTCGTGGAGGGAAACACTCCAGTCCTGTGGGCCGGACGTCCACAGGGTCAGCTTCAGCCTCGGCGGCAGCAGCAACCACTGGCTCTAAGGAAGGTACGAAGGGCCAAGGGTGATGGTGTTAGGGGGTTTCGTGGGAAAAGGGGATCTTCTGGGAGAACCCAGGAATAGAGGCTACTCTGTGACCAGCCTCAGGTCAGTGGTTCACTGGAACTTTGTTTGGCTGTGAACCCTTTAAAAATGAACTATGGAACAGGCTGTGATGCATGCTTTGGAAGGTGGGAATCACTGTTGGCCCCATTTACAGATGAAGAAATGGGGGTTCAGGAGGCTCTGGTACCTTGCCCAAGGTCACTCAGTAAAATACAGCCAGGGTTCAAACTCCAGCCTCTCTTTTCCCTGCATCCCCTTCCCGGCTCTGAAATTGTGCTGCCAGATTTTCCAGGTCTGTATCTTCCCACCTGCCATCTGCTGCTACCCAGACCTGCACCCGTTAGCCGTTCCTTGTCTGACCCATGGTCGTCCTGCTGGTGGGCAGAGGGTGTCTGCAAGCAGGGGACAGGGTCAGGTGTCCTGGCAGGAAGCCCCAGCCCTGAGAGCAGCAGCCAGAGCGTTACTTATTTACTATTTACGATGATAAATTGCAAGCTAGCCCACTCTGGAATATTTAGAAAGTTTGACTCAGGGGTAAAATTGCCCAAATCCCACCTCCTAATAGCAACTACTATTATTTTGTTGTGCCTCTTTCCACCTCCTTTTGTTACCTTTTTGTAATCCTGCTGCATATACAACTTAAAAACCTATTTTTTGCTTTTCATTCATATAATCAAGTGCATTTTTTTTTTATGTCATTAACAACTTCCCATGTACATCATTTTGACTGGCTGTAAAATACTCTCTCCAGTCAAGGAATAGAAATTGAAGGCTTGCTTTGTCGAAAGGGTCCCAGCTCTCATGGGGTTCCCAGTCTGGTAAGGGAGGCTGAATGTCACCAGACCTTGTGACAGTGGCCTGACCAGGTCTAGGTGGTCAGAAGAGGCTTCCCTTGGGAGGGGATGGGGGAGCTGATGTCTAGAGGGTGACAATTCTCTGGGTAAGAGGGGAGGGCATTCCAGGCAGAGGGAACAGCATGAGCAAAGACTCCATGGCAGAAAGGAGCCATGTGGGTACAGAGGAGGGAGGGGAAGCAAGTGTGGATGGAACAGAGAAGAGCAGCCTGGTGTGATGCAGGTGGACCAGAGCGAGGTGCCCTGGGGTGTGCAGAGAGTTTCACTTTTATCCTAATAACTGGGAAGGCACAGGGATGTTTGAAACCAAGTAGAGTGTGATTGGGGGAATTTGAAACATTTTCTTACCCATTCTCTACGGGAATGCAGGGGAAAATTGTGGTTGTTGTCCAGGCTCAGTGCCTCATGCCTATAATTCCAGTACTCTGGGAGGCCACGGTGGGTGGATCGCCTGAGCTCACAAGTTCAAAACCAGCCTGAGCTAGAGCGAGACTCCATCTCTAAAAATAGCTGGGCGTTGTGCTGTGTGCCCATAGTCCCAGCTACTTGGGAGGCTAAGGCAAGAGAATTGCTTGAGCCCAAGAGTCTGAGGTTGCTGTGAGGTATGACACCATGGCCCTCGATGGGGTGCAACAAAATGAGACTCTGTCTCAAAAAAAAAAAAAAAAAGAAAATCTTAGTTGATTCTTATTTCTTGCTTTGATAAATAATGCTGTGATGACATCTTTTGGCACAAGTCCTTGCTCTGATTATGCTCTAGCCAGTAGTATAGAATGCTGCCCATCTCATCTGGTTGGCACAGAAATTTAGAGGGACAAAAACAACCAGAGGCCAGACTGGACTCTCTGGCACCTAGGGGGTTAAGGAAGGTTTGAGTCAAAGGCAGGGGCAGCTGGCTGGATCAGGTCCCTGGCAGGGTCAGACAGGCAGCATGAACAGTGAATGGATGAGGAAGCCGTGGGGTGGAGCCCATAGGCAGACCCACACAGGTAGGCCCTGCGCAGTATAGCTTCATTTGAAGGCCCTGGCCCAAGGTGGCAAATCCTCCTGTACTCGTGGGAGGGAGTCCTGAGCGATGAGAAACCAAACAAGAGAAAATGGTGGGTGCAGGAGGGTGTGGGTGATACAAAGGCCTTACAGAAGGAATGAATTTGTTAAGAAAGAGAAGGCTCGGCGCCTGTAGCTCAGTGGTTATGGCGCTGGCCACATACACCGAGGCAGGCGGGTTCGAACCTGGCCAGGCCAGCTAAACAACAATGACAACTGCAACAAAAAATAGCCGGGCGTTGTGGCGGGCACCTGTAGTCCCAACTACTTGGGAGGCTGAGGCAAGAGAATCACTTAAGCCCGAGAGTTTGAGGTTGCTGTGAGCTGTGATGCCACGGCACTGTACCAAGGGAGACATAGTGAGATTATTGTCTCACAAAAAAAAAGAGAGAGAGAGAGAGAAGACAAGTCTGGGTGGAGGGGAGTGTGGAGAGGGCACAGGGGTAGATTGTGAGGAGCAGAATGTGGTGGGAAGTGCTGGAGGATGTTAGCAGAGGAGTGACCAGACCTTGTTCACATCCTTTGCGCCACTGTGAGAATGGGTTGTGCGGTTAAGAGCAGGAGTGGGGAGACCTGTGAGGAGGCCTGTGGTCATCCATGCAAGGACATCTGCACTCAATACCAGTCTGTGGGAGGTCAAGGGGCTCCCTACCCTGAGTGGGCAATCACAGAAGACTTCTTAGAAGAAGCCTGAGTGAGCTCAGCCTTGAGGATAGGCGTGGGATTGGGGACTGTGAGTGTGAAAAAGAGGAGGAGACGCCAGCAGGGCAGTGGGGGAAGGACATGAGCAAAGGCATCAAGCAGGCAGAGCTTGGTCCACTGGGGGATGGGGTGTGTTGCCTGGTGGCTGGAAAAGGGCACAAGCCTGGCCCAACTCTGTGGCTAGGGCATAAATAGTGAGTGAGCCTTGATGTACCTTCTGGGTCTTTCCTTAGTGCTCTTCCTTGACCAAGAGAGGCCTGAATTCTGATCCAGCTGTCCCACCCCCGACCTCTGCCCCTGCTGTGTGATCCTGAGAGAGTTATTTAACCTCTCTGAGTCACAGATGGGTTAATAGCATCTCCCTGATGGGATCAAATGAGTTAATGAATGTGAAATGCCTACAGGTACAAACCTCATTAAGGATTAATTTCTTTTCCTTTCGCCATCCATAATCTCATTACCAAAAAAATTTGAAAATGATAAAAGAAGAAATGTCCATTATCCCTGAACCTAGCCCTTACCCCTTACCCAGTTAACCTAATCACAGGCTTCCCCATGGTAGGCAGTCATGCACTGGAGAACCACATTTTAGTGTACTGTGGTCCCATAAGATTATAATGGAGCTGAAAAATGCCTATTGCCGAGGTGATGTCATAGCGCAATTACTTTATTTTAAAAATAAATTTAGCGTACTCTGCGCAGTGTTTGTAGCATACAGTGATGTTCCAGGCCTTCACATTGACGCACTGTTCCCTGACTCACCCAGAGACACTTCTAGTCCTGCAGGCTCCATTCCTGGTAAGTGCCCTGTGCAGATGGACCATTTTATCTTTTATAACATATTTTTGCTGTTCCTTTTCTATGTTCAGATGCACAAATACTTACCATTCTGTTACAGTTGCCTCCAGTATTCATATAGTAACATTCTATATAGGTGGGCAGCTAAGAACAACAGGCCACTAGGCCACCTAGCCTAGGTGTGTGGTAGGCTGTACCACCTAGGTTTGTGTGAAGACACTGCATGACATTTCACACAATGGCAAAATCTACTGAAGCATTTCTCAGAACATATCCCTGTCGTTAAGTGATCCATGACTGCATTCCCTATTACACAACTTGGTGTTTTAAATAGTTAAATTGTGGGTTGTACCCAGTTTCACATTTTACTTTTTCATGTTTTGTGTTCTGTGGACAGCACCACCCTGTGCCACCACAGTGTCACTTTGCTGTCCTTTTGAATGGCTGCATAACAAGCCCTCAAGGGAAATGTGGCATTTGGCCTGCCGGTTGCTTACTAGATGCACTGCCTGGTGGTCTGGGAGCCCCTGAAGGCTGGGGCTGAGCAGTCTGCCTCTGCTTAGACCCCCCCAGACCATGGGGCTGTTGAGAGAGAGGAGGGTCCCTCTATGAATGCTGAGATTGATTGGAGAGCCACACCCCCATGCCTGACCTTGGGGTGATGGCAGCAGAGGCTGCTGCTGGGCTTGGTGGTTCCCTCCCTCTCCACTTTGGCCATGATGCTGCTTCACAGAGCAGAGCCAAGCCAGACACCCAGGCTGGGGGAGTGGGTGGGCAGCCAGGAACAGTTGGCCCGGGCAGCAAAACCCTTTGAGAGGGAAAGGGGCTTCTTTTGTTCCTGTTCCAGGGTCTGGAGTAACAAGAGCTTGTAGGGAGGAGGGACAGGCAGTAGCGCCAGGGAGGACAGTCTCCTCAGTCCTATTGGTCCCTCAGGCTCCCTCACTCTGCCTTGCACTCGGCCATCTGCTCTCCAAGGGGCTAGAGGTGCCCACCCCCCATCAGAGGCTGAGACCATGTGTGGGGCACAGGGCACCTCAGGATGGGTCTGGCAGAGCCCAGAGCCTGGCTATGGTTTGGGGGGAGGGGGTATCTCTGCCCTGGGAACAGGGCTGTGGCTGCCTCCCAAAGCATGAGCTCAGCCTCTGGCAGAGGGTCTGACTGAGGGACAGGCCTGGACTGGTGCCCCTACCGCCCGCTTGGTGGGGACAGAAGGGCCTGTGTCCCCAGAGCTGTGGGACAGGCAGAAGCATTTGAGGGGGACGTTTGAGGGCATTTCTCACCAAGAGGTGGCCCCAGGACTGAAAGGGAGAGGTGGACAAAGCAGGTTAGCAGGAAGGTTGTTTGGAATCCACTTGGGCATAAAAGCCTGGATGGTGCAGAGGTTGGGGACAGCCCAGCTGCATGTGATGGAGTGCAACTGGAGGCCACTGCAGGTGGGGTGCTCAGCGAAGGCCTAGCTCAGGCAGTGACATTTGGGCAAAGATCCAAGTGACAAGTGGGAGCCAATCCAGCTATGGTTAGGGGAAGATCACCCAGGCAGAG